GGGGGGGGGCTCCAACAACTCCACCCCCCATGGTGTGACGGATGGGCCCGGGGTAGGGGCCAATCAGAACAACAAAATACCCCCGAGAAACGCGAGTGAAAGAAATGACTGAGAGGTTTACGGGGTTGTCGTTTACGTAAGACGGAAATCAGAACTTAGCGAAAACTGTCATTTGTTTCCAATTTGTGCATTTGGTTTGCATTTTTTAGTCAACAGCGGTGCAACGAGTGCAAAGGTGGAATAAGAAGTTGGGGATGGACAAAGTGCGCCTCTCTCCGCGTGTTCGTTTCGAACCACAAGGGCGGGGAAACTCGCCTCGTTAAAAGTGAAAAGATAGGACGAGGGCGTCTATACTCATTATAAAAGCACACAAGCGCCAACCCGTGCGAAGCCATGACACGTACACACAACACAAGCGTGTGAGAACAGTGTGCTTCTGTGTCTACATATCGACGTCACTTCCAACATCATTATTCCATGCACAAGTGGCGAGCTCAGCCGACACACACTCCACACGAGTTTGTTATTCTTCCAGTTAATGAGCGCAGAGAGGGAGCATCGCTGCAAAAGAGGGGAGGGGAGGAGGGGCATCGGGGAGAGCAGCGCGGGCCAGAGACAGCGACGCCCGAGTACCGACTGCAGGGCAGCACGAGTGGCCTGCTTCAGCCGAAACAGAAACTTTCCCAACTGCTCACTCTGCTACATGGGAATCGCCAGCGCATTGCCAATTGAGGCTGGCGGGCGGAGGCGGGGTCCAGATCCAGAGGGCACTCCGCAGCCGCTCCCAGATGAGAGCGGGGAGGAGGAGGGTGGGGGTAGGTACACTCCGTGCAAGCTGCGACTGAAGGGGGTGTGGCCGCCGCTCACCTGTGAGGACGACGGCGAGCAGCAGCGGGACGGCGGCGGCCCTCCAGGCCGAGCAGGTGGGCCGCCCCATGGCGGGGGAAGGCGCGGGCGCTGAGACGGGCTTCAGGGCCGCGAGGGGGCCTGGGCCGCGGGGACCTCCAGCGGGGCGCACGGCCCGGCGCACGGCCTCGACGGCCAGCTGCTCGGCGGCGCGGCGGCCATGGTGGCGGCGGCCGGGGGGAGGCGGCCCTGGGGCGTGGCGGCGGCCGGGAGGCGCGGCGCTAATGGGCGGGCGGGGAGGACGCCGCCAGATTGCGGGGCGTCTCGTCCGTCTCGCGTGCCGTCCGACACGCCACACCGCGGCAACACCAGCACCGCTGCCCGGGGCCCGCCGAGGGGGCGGGGGTTCGACAGAGACGGTGGTTCACTTCCTGACGGCGCTGCACACTGCACTGACACACGCGCACGCACACCGACGCACTTGCTCGTCACACACACACAAACGCACACACAAGCGTGCACCACTGGGCCTCTTGAGCTGGCCGAACTCGTGCGGGGGTGTAATTTAATCCGCGGCTCAAACTGCCGATGGGGCGGCTCGCCGACGAGGGGTCGTCACTGCGGGCCGTCACGCGGACGAACGTCACGAGGGCGTCACGACGGAGGAACGGGGGGCGTCACGGGGACGTCGGCGTCGACGACCTGCGTCGCCGATCCCAGATCACACAGGGAGGCCACGAGCAGGACGCGGATGCTACAACACGCGGCGTCGTCCGCCTCGCGAACCGAGTGATGTGGGAGCGAGGGACCGCGACGAGCGCTCTGTCCTCCGACCTGCCCGCCCGGCGTCCGGGAGCCAACTGACTCCATTTGGCGGGAAAGGCGCGCTCGGCCTCGACCGTGCGGGGGGTGCGGAGAGAGAGAGGGGAGACGCCGGGGGTGGGCGAGCGAGAGAGAGAGGGGAAGCGACAGCCAGC